AACTGCACCTCATCAACGGCTGTTCTGCGTTTTGACTTCAGGTTTGTTGCGTTCTTCCGGCTGCTTCGCTTCCTCATTCTCGTACGATTGGTCACTGAGCACTACAACCTACGAAAGGCAACACGGCTCAGGGTATGCGTCTTCCTTCCTCATTCTATGTGCACGTGTATACGTGTGTATGTATGTGTAATGTATATGTATGTATAACTGTCCCTGTGTGTCTTCTGTGCACCCACGCAACTTCACCGATCCGCTGCTCCTGCTCTCCGTGTTCTGCTCTCATACACACACACCTGTGCCATCATATACGTGTGTGCGTGTGCGTGTCTGTGTGTGTGTGTGTGTGTGTCTGTGTGTCTGTGTGTGTAGATTGCAGAGAACAAGCGCCGCTTCCGCCAGGATGGCTTCGACCTCGATCTGACATATGTGACAGGTGCTGTCAGCATGTTGGTGGTCTTGAATTCGTGTGGCGACGCGCTCCTCTGCTCTCAATGTATTGCACACACACACACACATATATAACTACACACACGCGCTCCCTCTCTGTCTCTCTCCGCCCCCCCCCCCCTTCTGTTGCACACGATGACCACCAGACCGGATCATTGCCATGTCGTTTCCGTCGAGTGGAGCGCGTGTTCTGTATCGCAATCCCATCGGCGAGGTCGCTCGCTTCTTCAAGACCAGACATCCAAACCACTACCGCATCTACAACTGCTGCAGTCAGTCACCTCTTCTTGCCTGCGCACGTGTGCCTGTGTGTGTGTCTGTGTGTCTGTCTGTGTGTCTGTCTGTGTGTCTGTGTTTGTGTGTGTCTGTGTGTGTGTGCCTGTCTGTATGTATGTCTGTATGTGTGTCTGTCTGTCTATCTGCCTGTGCTGTCGTCGCTGGCATGCGTTATTCAGCTGCAAACTCACGTGTGCATGGCTATTGACAGGCGAGCGGGACTACAACCACAAGCGCTTTGATAACAACGTCGAGAACTGCCCCATTGACGACCACAACGTGCCGCTCATGGGGTGAGAGCACACGCGCACACATGCACACGCGTGCACACGCACACACGCACGCGTGCACGCACGTAGCATGTCTGTCATACGTCCACACCCACACGCACTTGCAGCAATCTGCCCACAACGCCACAACGGCTCCTGACCCTCAGCTCTCCCATGTTTGTGCCATTCATCGTCACATGTGTGTGTGTGTGTGTGTGTCAGGATGATGCTGAAGTTCTGCGAGGACGCGAGTGATTTCCTGCGCGCGGATCCGTCGAATGTCGTTGCCGTCCACTGCAAAGGCGGCAAAGGTGCACACACACACACACACACACACACACACACACACACACACACACACACACACACACACACACACACACACACACACACACACATGCACACGCCTGCACATGGTTGTATCTCACTGATGCGCTCGCTCCACACATTCACCAACAGGGCGCACGGGCACAATGATATGTGCACTGATGCTCTACTGTGACAGATTCGACACAGCGAAGGTTCCATGCAGCTGTTCGCACATGTGTGTGCGGTGTTGTTGTGTGCGGTCCTTGCAGCCATTCTTCGCTGCGGCTGACATCATCAGTGCACATGATCATGGGTGCGTGCGTGTGTGTGAGTGCAGGACAGCTTGGACTACTTTGCCATGCGACGAACAGACCTTGACGTGTCCCGCAAATTCCAGGGAGTGCAGGTGTGGTACACACGCGCGCGCATGTGTGCATTCGTGTGCTTGTGCACGTGATGAGCACGGTCAGGAAGAAACTGGGCTTACCAGCATCCACCTGCCATAACCGTCACCATCACCTCCTCACCAACGCCATCACCCTCAACACCATCACCCTCAACACCATCATTGCCGCAGACGCCGAGCCAAGGCCGGTATGTTGGGTACATGGAGGACATCATCAAGACGTACAACCGGCAGCTGCCGCCGCGCGTCTCCCGCGTCATCTCAACCATCCGCGTTGTCTCCCTCCTCGGTGCGCCATCGGCAGTGATGTTGGTGGTCGTGGTCGTGGCCGTTGATGCTGTGGTCGTCGTTAATATTGTGGTCGTTGCAGCAAAGGCCGTTTGATGTGGCCACTAAGCTGCGTTTCACACACACACACATACATATGCACTCACACACATATGCTCTCACACACATATGCTCTCACACACACACATATGCACTCACACAACGCACACACACACGCACACCGTCCTCACATGCACGTGCATGACCTCCTGTCAGTTGATCCGAACAACTCGAGCGGCGCGCGGGATTTGTCGTTTGAGGTCTATTGCGACAACATGCTCGTCTACGACTTTGATGCGCACCACGCCGTCGGCACAGCGGTACAGCCACTTGCCCCTCACCTTGTGTGTGCGCGCGCGCGCGCGCGTGTGTGTGTGTGTGTGTGTGTGTGTGTGTGTGTGTGTGTGTGTGTGTGTGTGTGTGTGTGTGTGTGTGTGTGTGTGTGTGTGTGTGTGTGTGTGTGTGT